TGGAATGAAAACCCCGTAAAATGGCCCAACAATAGCCCGTTAAAAGGCTTCATCGCAAATATCTTAGGGCCAGTCCAGGGCAGAAGTGAATGGATTCCTTCAATGGTCGCACTAACCGAATTCAAGACCTGCGAAGGAATATAAGGGAAATGAGCCAGATACAGAGTTTATTCCAGCTGATGCTTCTACAATGGGTCGTATAGGAGTTGTTATCAGAAGGCTATCGTGCCTTCTATGAAATGATATACTGGTGGATAGATTACATTAGATAAAGGAAGCAGGTATCAGCAATAAAAGTATGAAAGTGAAAAACTATCCAGTCAAGTGTTAGCTTACTAAAACGTGGCAAAGTGATCATGGTCCCCTCTTGTCGATTTGAGGATCCTCTTGAGATCGTATAGTTTAGTTGCCAGCCTCTTAATAAAGTAATCACGAATTTTGCTACAGCTTGTGCTTTTAGCTTGGGTTCTTCTGTTTGCCAAATTGTAGTCACGATCCTGTCTGGGGATCCACAGCATACTCTTTGGTACAGTTATAGATGCCCTGCCCTCTGCCATAGCAGCAATGGGGCAATGTGGAAAAAGTACTATCAAATGAGATATTCTTTTATAACCTTCTTCATTGTTAGGAATGTGATGATAAAGTTTGCTAGTCCAGAAATCTACGATTGCCTCTAAATCCCCTGTTGGCGCATTTTCTTGTCGATAACCAGAAAGTTACAGACTAAACGTAACAAGTCCGGCCAACCACAAGCTCAAATCAGCTGTTGGGAGCCGGTTGGTCGCAGCTATCAAGGAACTTCCAACTTATGAGGAGGAAGTGAGCTTAAGGCTGAACTTTGCCCTCTAATTTCTCTTTGCAGCGTGCCTCTGTGGAGCGTCTCATCCGGCCTGACGGCAACTGTGCTTATGCATTGCTCGAGATCAGTGCCCCCGCAGGATTGGAAATCTGGGCCGTGAGGTCAGGGGTAGACGCATTGAACCCTAGGCCAAAGGAGTGTATCAGGAGTGAGCTTTTAGACAAAATTGATCTGGGCATAACTAAACCCTCACCTCAATCCATCGTTGCTTGCTTTACTAGTAATGCTAAAAAGCCTACGAAAATGCAACGAAATTGGGAAGTAATCGGGTCTACATACGACTTGAATTGAATATTTATACTCTTAAGTGGTATCTTTTCAGAGATAAAATAGTTTACTTCTAAACAATACTAAACAAATACATTTATATTTATCCACTCTTATCAGTATCTAATTTCTTTACTTGTTCGATGCCGCCACTAGTGCTGACTTGAGTACAAAAATATTTTCTACAACACCCAGTCTGATTGTGAAGAAAGAATTTGGATGTAACACTTCGATTAAAGAAACCTCTCTATTCTGGTATCCATCCTCTTATTTCCTCGTCCAATATTATAATTAAAGGTCACTTTGGGTTCGAGGAAGACAACGATGCGGCTATCACTCTTCATTTCCCGGATCTTGAGAATGTAACTGAGACAGAATACTACGTCATTGTGTCTTCCAATAGACACGGCTAGACGAAACGAAAGGATAAGGCCGATCTTGATGGCTGAGCTTTTCTTAAATGTTGTCTTTAATTCTTATTGGTGTTGGCTAAGAGTCTTGGGAAGCAGGCCTGCTTTGCGGTCACTCAGTTCGCGATCTCGTTTCG